TTATCATTTTAAAATTGCGGGTGTGCCCGTAGCAAAAATGGGGTGTGCCTTTAGCAAAAATGGGGTGTGCCCCTGGTTGTGGCCTTTTTTATTTTCGTTATTATCGAAGGCATTTTTTTATTTTTTTATTATCTAAGGCCTTTTTGTTTTTCCAATATCTGGGTCATTCTTTTATTTTCGTGAATAAATGGGGCATTTTTTTATTTTCCTTCAAAAAGAAACGTGGACATTTGCATATTTGCCTATTAAAATCTCACTCGAAAGTCCAAATATGATTCATTTCTCAGACTGCCTATTATACCAGAGAGCGAGCTTTAAGGCTTGCACCACTACCCTAAAGAGATTGAATGTTCAGCTGATTCCCCCCTGGTACTGGGTGTTACAGCTTGCGAAACCGGTTCCTCGGTGTGGTTATCCACTGACCCATGTAGTGGCAAGATTTTGGCCTACATACTCTTGGACGTATGACCCATATATTCTCGAATACAAAGAGAAGTATCTAGCATTCCAGCAGTATGCCAAGAACAGACCTTGCACGATAGCAGACCTGCGAATTCACCACATTGGGGTCCTGACTTGTTCTTCGTCATTCGTAAAACATACAGCACCATGCATTGACACGATAAGCTACGCCGCTAGGGACTGACGATTTTTGAACGCACTAAATGTTGACATCTGGGCAACGCTGCAAGTACGACGGAGTTTGATGTTGAGACACGCTCCACCTCTAAAAACTATGTTTATGAACGTGAACGCGCCACACAGGGCCGCATAAAAGGAATGATAGCAAGAGAGGACATCAGCCATTAAGGAACTGTTTATTTCGAAAAGAAGCAATGGAACTCATTGGAGGCTAGCAACATTATCTGTGAGATGCAGAAGACGGTGGCGGACTGCGAGACATTCCGACACTTTCTCCCTATGCATCCGATTCTTCGCGGAATTGATTTTAGCGTGCCTGAATCCATTGCGTGTTCACACGTCTTGTGGGCGACCAAGAAACATCATTCGTTCGTTTACAGGGCGCACGTTGTATTGAACTCTACTGTGGAGAAGATACGACATACAACTTAAGCTAGCGCGTGGCAGGCTGCGTTGTCAACGGAGACACCCTGCTACCATCTGGGCTCATGACAATGATCTAATGGTTACCCAGGCGTGGTCAAATTTATCGAGTTGTACTGCACCAACTCAATCGCTCTTTTACGGGGCGCGAACGCGACACGAGTTGTCGTTGGATTACAGTGCTGTTGAGGAGACCAGGAAACAAGAAGGCGTATTTATATGGGCGTACCCGAGCGCACAGGCTTGTTGGCAGAAGCCCGTCTATCACTAGACCGGTGAAAAAATGGGCGCTTACTTGCTTGCACGTCTTTCTCGCAAATTGTGCCCGCCGTCAAGCATCGGTGTGTCGTCCGTTATTAAGGAACGTTTTCTTTGCGATCATCCGGATGGTGAGACAGAGTACGCGCGCGTATGGGCGCGACGGCGGACTATTCTGAGTAGTATTTGCATTACCAGCTTACGGATACTTCGAAATTGGGCTCGTTCCGTCTCAACGTTGTCTCGAAGGTAGTGATAAGGACTTTTTTGGGACGCCGGCATGTGGCAACTCCGAGCAGTGGCAAAGCGTGAGTACCGGCGCGACGACACGAAAACACACGGCGCACGCCTATGATTCGGCCAACGTGCGATTGACAGGCAACCCCGAGAGCCGTCACCTCAGGTGACAAGGCTCGGACAACCACAGGACTCAGCACATGAACCGGCGTTGCTAACCAGACTTAGGATCTATCAGACATCTTGCAACCATCCAAGGGTAAATAAACTCGTCTACCTCTCTATCAAGAGCTGGCATGTAGTACCACTCCTTGAGCGCATGGCTATACGGTCACGAAGTATCTATTATGTCCCCAAGCAGCCTTCCATCCGATCAGCCCAAACCAGTTCATCCGGAATTATATCAGATCCGAACATCTAGAGAGAGGCAAAATCTATATTAGAGCTACTTATCGCTACTCAGGACGTCTGTGTTGTGGAAACCACCACGGTCATCTACCATAACACGAACTATCTCCTACCACGTTCTTCATTCTGCTGGCTCGATACTCCACGCGTCACGGGGGATCTCCCGAAAGGCCACGTGATAATGACCGAGTCAGGGGTTAGAACTTTGTGCGCACTCTTGGCCGGATGGCTGGGCTTCGCGTCGCGCTTCAAACTGCTCCAGGGAGCAGAGGCCGCATGGCTAGGAGGCCTGTTCCACTTAGGAAGTCCTAGCGTGCCATCGTGGCGTAATTCCTGGCCGCTTTCGTGATGGCGACTTGATGTGGGATCCGAGCATCTATTTGCTGACAAATCTCTCCGGTCTGGACACTATTCGGCTCAACGACATTTTGTTTCGACTTCCGCATTTTGCGAATGTTACTGCCAAAAAGGCATCAGGTGAGCCAACGCTCAGTATCCCGCCGAACTGGAGCATAAAATGGCGCACGGCGCAGAGCCAAGGCCTGCATCTCACGTATCCGGTTCGAGCACCGACACTTGCGACGAGATCCGCCGGAGCCAGTAGGCCAGACTGACGAAGCGCAGACGACACTCATTCGCGTGCTCACGGGACTGGTGGTGCTGTCTGCGCATTTACCACGTTACAAGAGCTCACTAGACAGTCTCTGTCCACTCGTTGACTCGGCACGACATATAGGCGGCTGACCGAGCTGACAAAAAACCTGACCATCACCGGACCGTGTGCCTAGAGATTTTGCAATGTCTCCGTACGTGTCGCCATTCCCGGAGAACAGGTAAAACGGGCCGATATCTTGACGACGTCTGAAGAGTGCGAGCCGGCAGACCAGATTGAAGAAGCTCTCGTACTGACACTGGTCTGAGTGTCTCAAGAGAAAGGTGGATCCTCCACAGTTGCTCCTGATCTACGAGCTCATTCCTCAATTCCCTTTTGACTACACATTGAGCGACTCGGCAAGTATCATGCGTCTCCACGTCGCCCTTGTCCTACTTGTGGCCACCTCTGTCGAAAGCTATGTCAGCTTTGCCAGCGCGGACCCTTCTCCTGTGGATAGCCGAGTCATCGAGAGCACCGAGATTCGCCTCCTCCGTGCGGCAGAGCGTATCCAAGAGGACAGAGTGCCACTTGGCGCTGCTGACGAGACCTTGTCCCGTGCAGCGTCTATGTCCAAAGCTGATGGAGGTCTGTTGGCATCGTCGTCAAAGATACAAACTGCTGACGAAGTCATCACTGGTGCGGCAGTTAAAGTGAACGAACATCTCGCGAGCGCAGCCAAACCGGTCGAACAAGTTTCTGGGGTGACCGCGAAAGCGGCGGAGGACGTCACTGGTGGGGCCGCGAAAGCGACGGACGAGGTCACTGGTGGGGTCGCCAAGTCGAAGGACGAAGGCGCTGATGGGGTCGCCAAGTCCAAGGACGAAGTCGTTGATGCGCCGCCCAAGACGAAGGAAGAGCTCGAAGCGGAGGCTAAAGCTGCAGAAGCTGCCAAAACGATAAAAGAAGCCGGCGGACATCCATCCCCACTGAAAGTCGCGTTTGTTTCACTCGCTGTGATTGCCTTGCTCGGTGCGATGACTGGGTGGGCACTCCATTTGGCGAACAAGCATGAAGTGGCGACGCCTTTGGAACCCATGTCGGGCTCGAACCTGGAAAGCATGTCGGGCTAGCCTGAATGTAGCCACTTCGCAGCCGCCAGACCGCTTTGTTTGTTGTACGCAAAGACGCTAATAGACGCTTTTGCCACTTTGTTGTTTGTTGCGTCTTTTGACTCGTTTGCTGTGTAGACACTCACTCACTGACCCCGTGACCAGCAGCGGCCGACCGACCGACCGACCGGACGCAAAGACCCCTTCGTCTCGTGCGCAGTGGTGTCCAATGCGTCTGTGGTACGTACTTCCCTCAAGTTTCGCGCCCTGCTCCCGTCTCGATGTGCTTCGTCTCTAGAGGCGCTGGTCGATGCTGCAGTCTCCGAGCTAACACAGAGCGATCGTATACCTCCAGCAGCCAACAGATTGTCGACCAGCAGCGCGACAGCAACCACATCGACGACGAAGCTCTGGCAGCAACGTACGCGATCACTGCTGATGTGCTACAGAAGGAGACGACCGACCGATCGATTGTCTGTTGCGCTGCGGTACGAGATGAAAGCACAGCGACGAATCTGTCTGGAAAACGCCAACTGTATCGCTGACAGCGGCACATGCCGTGCCGTTCTCTCTCCTCTCTCTCTCTCGCTCGCTCTCTCTCTCCTCACTCTTTTCTATACTTGTGTATAGGCAACAGCAACAACTCGACGCTCTTGGACTAACTAAGAAAGCGCTGCAGAACGAACTTCTGTCAGTCATTCCTGCAGCTGTGTCGAGACTGCGTCGTGGGCTCGACAGTGCCAGTACGTGGGACATCGATGCGGCCGTTGGTTGATGGCGTGTCGATGATATGGGACAAGCACAAGGTCCACCTGCTTCATGATGAGCTGATGATGCTCGTGTTGCGATGTCAATCGGACTTTGACTTTGCTCAAGTCGGGGACGTGTCGTGGCGACTGGACCACGTGCTGCATTCGAGTGGAGCTGGAAGTGATCATGAATCACTGTACGTTGTGCAGCTGCACGTGCAGTCGCCTCGTCCTCGTCATGGCTTGGGACTCCAGATGGAAGTGTTCACGCGCTCAGTGAAATATCGCGAATGCTCATGTATCGCATCCACAGGCGACTGACTGCTCATGAGGTGGAGAAGCTGATGACGGGAACGGTGTCAAAGGTCCGACTCACGAGCACAGGAGCGCGTAGACATAGGCACTTGTGTGGAGAAGCGAATAGTTGCTCCATCTAGCAAGTCTTGGTCAGGAAGGCTGTGTTGTCGGCATTGGCCACGTTGCTTCAGCAGTCGTGTCGGTCCAAGTCGAGAGGTGTGGCACTGCAAACAGACTGATATCACTTGACAATGCTTTTTGACAATGTCGTGGCTGCCGTTTGCAGGCACGACGTCCGTCTCTCACTTCGCGATAGCTCTTTCTCGAGTGGTGCTTCTCGTCGAACCATGCGCATGTGTCAACGATGGACTAATGTGAGCTCTTGGACGTTGGCGCTCGATCGTGATCGTACGCGGACTGGAGCCCGACTACTCGTATCAGCCGTTCGGTCTCGTCCGTTCGCTTATCGGCTTGACAGTGGTCATCCGCCAACTCGTGCTGCTGCCCGACGCACGTCTCGATCGTCAAGCACTGACGTCCAGTCCCTCGATCACGCGACCAACTACAGAAGCAAGTGCAATATCGGCCGACTTCCGTATCACGACGGACTAGTCATCACCCCCTTCACCGCAAATGACATCGTTGGTCTGGAATGCCGGTACACTGACCTGTTCGAGATCATCAGCGTGGACGGACAGTGAGCAAGTCATGTCCACATCCCTCAGCTATGACCAAGGACGCTTCCCGACAACGACAGTGGTGGCGATGTGGTCACTTGTGCGGACGAAAGAGATCCGGTCAATCAGTGTGTACAGACGACCAACAGTGCCGGCACTCACCGAAGTTTCTGTCATCTGCGCTACGACTCGATTGTCGCCTCCAAGCTCGATCCACCACTTGTGCTCCAAAAGCAGTTCCGGTGGCCTCTCATGCTCGAAACGGTACATCATCTGCTCCCTGCCAGACGGTGTTCAGGCGCGTCAGGCGCATCGTTCGATATGAAGCTGTAGATGCACTCTTGGAACTGCACGGATCTAGTCACTACCCCATCAATCCGATCGATGACACTACCCCATCGATCCGATCGATGACACTACTATCGATCCGATCGATGACGTCTCGGCTTGGACAATCGTTCCATGCGCGAAGGACACGTTGCAGACCAAAGCGGATTGGCTTTCACTGTGAGCACACTCATACGTGGTCAACTGCCATGTGTGTCACGAATCACTTGCAACACACATCACTTGCAACACGCTGCACTCCATACACGAAGCGTTTGTCCTCGTTCACGCCAAGTTCCTGCTTTCAGCTGGCTTGTCTTCGTGGTCGGACAAGCACCAAGTTGGGTCGTGCTATCATTGTCCGGGCAACGTACTCGACCAACTCAGCATCCTCGTTTCGTTTCGTGCGCACTATAGAGCCAGCACTCGCCATCCCGTCAGCAGAAAAGTCGTTGTCATGGCCACGTCCCTTACTATCTTCGAATGAGATGTTTGAAGCTCGAGCGGAACTGGATCGGATGTTGATGACGAACTGCCCGTGAGAGACTGAGGAGCGAGAGTCGGTGCCGTAAACACGAGAGCAGGTTGTTACGCAGCCTTGTTCGACCCGAGGCAACAGCGATGGCTACATGTTCGCGCGTTGCTGCATTCTGGTACTTCTAGACGTTTGTGGTGCATTACACCTTCCTCGCACTGTTTTGACGAGAGAAAACGCGGTGCATTGGCACGCCACGTCACGCATCGTTTAGACTTTCCACAAAGTTGAGCAAATGAGTACAAACAACTCGCGTGTAACTCCTGAGGCTTAAAGACAGGCAGATGGACATACGGGTAGCAGAGTAAAGCTGGTACTTGTCTACACACATGCAATTGAGTGCACGTTCATTCCAGAACACGTTTACTCTTAACGGTCGCACCGGCTTTCGGAAGAGAGCTAGAAAACGATCCTTGGCACGACTGTGTCATCATTCTCGAGTCTAATGCTGTATTGCATGATGTTTGAGAATCGCTTGCATCAGAAAAGTAGTTAGCCCACTTCTCCTTGCAGTGCGGGGGATGGTATGGCTGTAGCCAAATCAGCTGTGTCACCGACATCCGCTCAAGAAGCTCGAGCTCTTGGTTCAGAGTGCATCGAGTTTAGTCCTCAGACCATTCCGCTTACGCCTCATTGTCGTCCGCAGCGACACCGTCGGCCGGGGATTGCAATTCCATCCAAAGTGCCGTACAGGAAAAGGCCTTTGCCGTGCTTTTGAGCAAAGTCTTACGCTGCACGTGAAGCTAACTGTAGGCCTTGTAAAGTGATCTCAAGCGCAGGTGCATGTGTGCGCTTGCGAGGTATGTAGATCGTGTGTGGACTTCGCGGATGTAAATCGGGGGTTCATCGCTGTCCTGTAGTCGATCGGATCGCTTGCTATGCTTGATGTTCCATCAGAGAAGAATGCGCAAGCCCTCAGTCCATTAGCTTGTTCGCGCATTCAGGCTTCCAAAGAAGTCTCAAGCACATGAAGCCAGCGAGTCCGGAGTAGCACACGAGTGAAATGCGACGAAGATCATGGCATACAAAAGAAAGTGTCGACGCCCACGCAGACTCGCACTGCCGGGCGCTCTTCTTCTGCGAGAAAAACATCGGATGACACTAGCCGATGACCCTCAATCATGAGGTGATAACCGTTATCGAGCATGACAAGTCAAGTCAAAATCTGTGTGCTGCATTGGACGTACCTCGTAAGCATTAGCGCGTCTACCGCATGGAGCCGTTGATGCAAACGTGTAACGGCACTCTTGTCCTTCACGTCGTTCCAACAACCCTTGGCGTGTTTTGTCGCAGCTGATCTTGCAAGCTTTACGGTTCTGAGCTGACCGACAGGTCACCGAGCAAGATGGGGCACTCCATGTTTGTTGTCCGGCCCAAAAGGTCTTGACGGTCAGTAATGAAGCAGGCGATCGTCTATATGTAGGACAGCCTCATGCTACACGCCGTCGGTGTAAACCACGAAGGAGTTTGACGCTAGTCCTCACTGTTACACACAGGACGTTCGTCCTCGCTGGCAGCCACATCGACAATTACGGGTGGACGCAAGACGCGTGTTTCGTTGTTCCGCGTAAGGCCGTGTCCATCCGGACTAAAGCGAACGACAAATCGCTTGCTCTCATACGTTGGCAATCAAAGATCAACTCATCGTTGAACGCGTTCTATACCCCGCATCGATCGCGTCTTCTTCGGCTGTACGCTAGGAGCCCTAGACGATGATACCTGGACGCTGATAGTGGCCTTTAGGAGTGTTCACAGTGCTGTAATGTAACGTCTTACGTCCGTTACGGATCCACCCACGATGGGACAAGCGCTGCGAAAGACGAGGCAACTGTGCTCTCAAAAGGCAAGTTTCTATCAGCTTCGGGTATGCACATTTCTTGGAGATTGACAAGGGGCGAAGCTACCAAGGTCGAAGCCAGCTCGCCTGTGGTTGCGTATAACCATACGTCCTGCAGAAAAAGCATGCGTTGTTCCATCATGATGCAAAGCGACGACTACAGCTTTAATTGCCACGCACTTTGTCACGCGTCCGTTAGCAGGTGCGTGGTCCATTTTTATGCATCAAATGGCACGGTCACGTGAAAACGATGAAGGTGAGGTGCAGGAAGGCACAAGACGACCTGGTCGCGGAAAAAGTCGGTTCTTTTGTCATGGCTGATGTAAGCGAGAGACGGGTCGGGTCGTTCATGTGCATGAGCTTACAAAGTTCAACGGCCTTGGTTCTTGCTTGATATGATGCTAGCAGAAGCACATGGACTGTACTTGCTGCAGTATCCGGCTTTTTGGATCGACACCGGGTCGGCGATACCCTTTGATCTACATCAGATGACTGGTAGACCGGCTCTAGTACTTCCGAGACGACGCCCCCTGCCGGACCTCGACGAGAAAGTCGCTCAGTGCGATACACTGTTCCTTCACTGAGAACGAACCAATCAGTCAGTTGTCACGCTCCGCAGCCAACCCGGCCAATGTCGTCCAGTACCACCCACCGTTGTCAAGTCCGCCAATTTCCATGACCCGCGGGACTCGATGCCATCATTTCGGAATTCACCACGCCTTGGTCCAGTCGGCAATGGACTCTCCCCGCAAGTCAGAGAAGCTTGTGCAAGAAGACCTGCTGCACGATGGCATGCCACCCGAGATCTATGACGACATGGTCAAGCACGAGCGATTTATCTACTTTTCGCTCATGTTCCTCAACGGATCCGTGCTTTGGGCCTATTACTCGTGTCTCAGTGCTCAAGACTTTTACACGGTCGAGTTCCCTGACTCTGGACTCGACTTTTCCTTCTTAACGACTCTGTGCACGGCGTGGCCAATGGTCATCGGGCACGGGCTGCAAATGATCTTCGGCCTCGACAAAAAGTTTAGCCAAAGTTTCCGCGTACACGCTGGATACTGCATTTACATGCTCATGGCCATCCTCATCATGGTCTTTAGCGCGATTGACTTTCAGAGTCAAAAGACTGGCGGAATCCTCGTGCTCGTGTGCTTCGTGTGCATTGGGATCGGTAATTCGCTGTCTGAAGCTACGTACTACACGTTCGCGGCGCTGTTTCCCGTCAAGAAGTTCACAGACGGCGTGCAGATTGGCAACGCTTGCGCTGGCATCCTAAACATCACAGTAGCCACGGTACTGCGACTCGCAGTGGGGGGCGTGAATCAGACCAGCAGCTCTACGAGGCTCAGTTTCTACATCTTCTTTAGTCTGCTGGTCCTTGTCTTGGTATGTGCGGTGCTGCTCTACCGCTACTTGATGCGTTTACCGTCAGTCCAGTTCCTCGTGGACCGCAACGAAGACTCGGCCAAGGCAGCGTACTTGGCAAGCCAATCGGTCGGCCGCACGCTACAGAACCTGGGCCGCATCTTTTCGATCGTCTGGCTACCGGCCGTCGCCCAGTTCCTCGTCTTTTTCGTGTCGCTCTCGGTGTTTCCTGGTTTGGGCTGCGCGGCGTCGCGGAACCTCTACCCACCGTTCAGTGACGAAGCCCACGACCTCACGAACTCGTGGTACTGCTCGCCAGGGATCATTGGCAGCTACAATTACGGCGACTTTATCGGTCGCATCATCTGCACGGCGGCCGTGTACCGCGTCGTGACTATGGGGTGGGCGCTCGGGCTGTCGGTTCTCCGACTCGCCTGTTTTCCGCTTCTGCTCATGGGAGTGGCCGGCACGCCCTTTTACGCCTTCCCGCTCGGCAGCACGAGTGCACTGGTCTACAACATTGCGCTCAATCTGCTCATTGGCGTTTCCACGGGCGTGCTCTCGACTGTCACAATGGGCGTCGCGCCTCGCCTGTTGACCCCTGAGGACCGCGAATCAGGTGGGGCTGTCATGGTGTTTTCCCTGTTTCTCGGAATCGCAACAGGCTCTACTTTGGGGTTCCTCGTCAGTGATGGCAAGTGGCTCGGCCTATAGGGCAACTAGAAGAGCTGCTGCCCACTGCTCTGCCGTTGAACAAGTAACACGAACGGTCTGCTCGATGCGGTTTCGCTTGAGGCGGTTGACAAAGCCACTACTGCCCGCACATACGCTACTAACGCCAGTAACTTTGGCGCGAGCCGCGACCATTGGCCGCAGAGCGTCGGGTACACGGCCTGTCGTTGTCGTCGGTCAGGACGGTCCTACCATTCCTTTTACAGTCTCAGACACGCACTAAGCGTTGCTGCGTTCACTCGCACTCGCACTCACACTCTCTCTCTCTCTCTTTACAGCTGTACTAGTGCTGGAAACAGTGGCGGGGTGTGTGCATCTACACGAGTTGACTCTTCCGCTAGTTGCTGCACAAGCGTCACGTGCTCGAGCAAAGGTACCAATACCCCCCGTTCCGTGTCCTCCATTGGGATGGAGTGTCCAAGCAGGTCTGAGAAGCTCGTGCCTCCTGAATGCCAGGTCGAAGACGGCCACGATGGCATGCCCGAAGAGGTTTGGGCCGACATGGTCCAGCACGAGCGCACCATTTTCTATTCCCTCATGTTCCTCAACGGCTCGGTGCTGTGGGCCTTTTACTCGTGCCTCAGTGCGCAGGACTTCTACGCGATCGAGTTTGCCGACGCTGGACTGGACTTTTCCTTCCTGACAACGCTCTGCATGTCGTGGCCAATGGTCATCGGCCAGGGCCTTCAGATGATGTGCGGGCTCGACAAGAAGCTCACGCAGGAGTTTCGCGTCCGCGCGGGGTACGGCATTTTCATCCTCATGACGATCCTCATCATGGTCTTCAGTGCTGTTGACTTCTCAAACCCAAAGACGGGGGGCGTCCTTGTGCTCATTTGCTTTGGCTGCGTCGGCTTTGGTAACTCGCTCTCCGAGGCGACTTACTACACCATCGCTGCGCTCTTTCCAGTGCCCAAGTTCTCACAGGCTGTCCAGATCGGCAACGGGGCCGCCGCGATCCTCAATATCTCCCTTGTCACCCTCCTGCGTCTCGCTGTCGGTGGCGTTCGCCAGGATAATAACTCCACGAAATTGGCATTCTACCTCTTCTTTGGCATCCTCCTCGTCGTCCTCGTTGCAGCGCTTTTTGTCTACCGCCAATTGACAAACTTATTGAGCGTCAAGTTCCTACTGGAGCGCAATGCTGCCTTGACCAAGAACTTGTCCAAGGATTACGCGCACCAGTCGATCCGTCGGACCATGAGCAACCTGTGGCGCATTTTGACCATCATCTGGATGCCTGCGACGACACAGCTCTTTGTCTTCTTTGTGTCGCTGTCCGTGTTCCCCGGATTCGGCTGCGCTGCCTCCCGGAACCTCATGCCTCCGTACTCGGACGTTGCGCACGCGGTCGCCGCGAATTGGTATTGCGCCCCCGGCATTGTCGGCTCGTACAACTACGGCGACTTTTTTGGTCGCGTCCTCACGACTGCCGCAGCGTACGAGCTTGTTAATAGCAAGTGGTGCTTTGGTCTATCGATCCTGCGTCTGGCCTTCATCCCTCTTTTGCTCATGGGTGTTGCCGGCACCTCTCTATACGCCTTTGGCCACGACGACATGACTGCCATCTCGTACAACGTTATTCTCAATCTACTCATCGGTCTCTCCAACGGATTTCTATCGACGATCACCATGGGCATTGGTCCTCGTCTCGTCAGTCTAGAGGATAGAGAGTCGAGTGGTGCGATCATGGTGTTTTGCCTCTTCCTAGGTATCGCCGGAGGGTCTACGCTCGGTTTCTTCTTCAGCGACCAAGGCTGGCTCGGTCTGTAAGCTGTGCTGCCTCGTGTCGATTGAGGCACATTGCACGAAGCTTTTGCAACGATACAGGCTGCTGTAACAAGCTGCAGCCAGCAAATCGATTCAATAGACTTTATTTCTTTCCATGCACTCGTGTTTGTGCCGCGTAAAGTGCGTGCTCAACCTCAAAGCGTTGTGCTTTCTTGGCATGCACGTCGTCGATGAGGAGACTACATAAGATCGAAGTCTAGTTCGTCTGCTGTCATGACTATGATCGTATGCTACGTACGACTTCATCACGGGAGTCGTGATACACTAAAACGCCGCTTTTGTAGGGGAATCGGTAGGTCCACATCACGAAGTAGTACTCGCAAGTGAAGACTTGTCCAGTCTCGTACGTACTTGAAGTCAGCATGTTGAAGTCCTTTGATAGTTGATTGCCCCCGAAAAACCCAGCCGTTGATCAAAGACCCACATCCAAATAAACCCACTCACCTACAAACCAAGATCCACCCAAGCGCGTGTTTACAGTCGCAAGGGCACGTGAGATGTACCACAAAATTTGCAGTGAATGAATTTCAAAGTTTCGCGCTCGCTCCTCCTGTCATTGCGCACTCGCCTCCCGCGTCTGCTGCAGAGGGGCCGCGACGTCAATTCTTCCGCCGTGCAGCGCGTGGCCACGTCATCACCATCATCAGACCTGCGCTTCGGTCTTTGTGCTGCTAATGCTGCGAACGAGTCGCCGACCGCGTGCTGCTAAGACGCAGAAGACGCGCCACGACGACTCGGACACCAGCCACTCGCTGGCGGCCACGACCAGTGAGACTGAAGACGAAGTCGACACTTTGAACCCGGACACCACCAAGGACAGAAACAGGGACAACCCTACTCCCACTTGGCTCCGCCACATGTCGCACGACAAGACGACCAATACGAAGGACCACAACAATCATCACAATAATGACGCGAGCAATCGCAGCACTAAGACCGTCGGCAGTAAACGGCGCAGAGAGACCGGCGAGACAGCAACGGCGCTGTCCCAACTGGACGCCCACATTGAGTCCGAGATGGGCATTGTCGAAGAAATTTACTGCGAGAATTTCATGTGTCACCGCAAACTCCGTGTGGTGCTATGTCCGCACACGAATTTCATCACGGGCGAAAACGGCAGCGGCAAAAGCGCAATCATTGCAGCGCTTCAGATCTGTCTCGGGGCCAGTGCTCGGAGCACACATCGGGGCAAGAGCATAAAGAATTTGATTCGCCATGGACACGAGGGCAATGCTCTGGTGCGAATCACCCTGCGCAACGATGCTGTCGGTAGCGACGCGTTTCGTCCCGAGCTCTTCGGCCGGAAGATCCTCGTCGAGAGACTTATTCGCCGAGACGGATCGGCTGAATACCGACTGCGAGACGAGAAGGGACTGATGGTGTCGAAGCTCAAGGCAGATTTGGACGCGATGCTGGATCATCTGAACATTCAGACGGACAATCCGTGTGCGATTTTGGACCAGGAGAACGCCAAGCTTTTTCTGAAAGGCAATTCGCAAGATAAGTACAAGTTTTTCCTCCAGTCGACGGATTTGTACAAGATGAGAACGACGTACTCGAAGATTGACGAAGAGACGAGGACCATTGCTGAGTCGACGTTGAAGAGGGAACGAGCCAAGATTGCTACGCTAAAGAACGCGATGGACGAGGCTACAAAGCAGTGGAAAGAGGCACAGAGTGTGAGGAGCTTGGTTTTGTATGGAGGTGGCGGCTGTACGTGTAACAATAGTTTAACGTTTCGGGTCCTTTGATGTGCAGATCGGAATGCTGGAGGAAGAGTTCGAGGTGCTTAAAAAGGAATTGGCGTGGTCTTTCGTATGTGAGAAGGAAGCCATGGCCGCGAAGGTCGAGAAGAAGATGAAGCGAAAGAAGCGCGATGCCGAACAGGCTGCTGACAAATACGAAGAGGCGAGGGAGGCGGTCGATAAGCTGGAGCAAAAACAGAAAGAGAAGAATGACAAGCTCGAAGAAGTGAATGCACGCATGAGCGAAAATAGTCAACGAAAAGGAGAAGTGAAAAACAGGATCCGTGAGGCCCGTCGCCCGTTGCACAACTGCAAGGCGGAAATAAAGCAGCTAACGCAGTCCAAACAACGTGCCAACCAGCGACTAGCCCGTTTGCAACAAGACTTGCAGAAGAAGCGCGAGAACCACGAAGTGATGCTTCGTAATCGCATGCACCGCAATGATGAAATGCGTGAGCGTATCGAGACGGTGCAGCGTGAAGTGCAGGAAGCCGAGCATGAGATCAATAAAGCTAAGAAGCGTGCTCAGGCACGTCCTCTGGAGCTAGATGAGGTGGAAAATCGGCACGATAAGTGTGTCAGACAAATGCGTGAGGCAGAGACGGAGGTGAATAAGGTCCAGCAACGCATCAATTTGCTGAGAGAGCAAAAGCGCGATAGTCTTGCTGTGTATGGCAACCGGATCCCGCAACTGCAACAACTTATTCACAAAAATCGCCACCGGTTTGCTGCGCCCCCTATCGGACCCCTGGGTCTTAGTGTAAAGCTCCCCGAGCGATACATGCACTTTGCCGTTGCAATCGAAATCGCACTGAAGGGCCAGCTGGGAAGTTACCTGGTGATCAACGGGAAAGACAAAGCGGTGCTAGAGGATCTAAAGCGTCAGGCGCGTTGTCCACCTAACAAAGCCAACATCATTATTTCGCAGCGTGCAGGACGCCGTTATGACAATTTGCGTCTGGCAGAAGGAAGCCTTGCTGACCACGCAATTTGCAACATTCTTGAGGTGAACAATGACGACGTCTTCAACGCTCTCATTGACGTATGCAGCTTGGAAAGCAAGTTGCTGTTCGATAGTCGTCAGTTGGCTGAGGATAGCGTTTTGAGCGGCTCAAGCGGCAACTTCAGGATGGCGCGTTTCGTGTCAGAGGTGTTCCTTCCTAACGGCGACAAGTTCATCGTTCGTTCTGGCAATTTGGCATTCATTGCCAACAAGCTACACCTCCGTAGCTCCATCATTTGCCAGGATGTGGAGGGCGAGATCAAGGACTTGGAACAGAAGCTCCATTCCCTTCAGACGAATCTGGAGGTCTTCCGTCGTGATGAGTCTCGGCTACGACAGGACCGTGAAGAACATCGCCACCAGATCAAGCAGCAGAACGATCACATTGACTACTTATCACGTCGATACAATCAGAAGCGTGCAGGATTGCGCAGTCTCGAGGAGGAACTGTCTGATGACTTGCAGCAGCACACGCTGGATACATCTGTGCTGGAGGACGAAGTGAGAGGCGTCGAGGGTGAATTGGAAGGTTATGATTGTCGTGAGCAAGAGCTGAATGAGATTCTTTCCAGGTCGAACCCGGATTTGGAAGGTCAGCTGCGGGACCTTGAGGAACTAGACGCGGCAGAGAAAGAGATTGCTGCCGAAATGAACGAGTACCAGGCCGAAGCGGATGCGATCTACAAGTGTCTGAGCGAAATGAAGGTACAGGAGATGACGTGCCAGCGGGAGGCAGCTACGTTACGTGACATGGTTGTGCAGTGGGAAGACGAGCTAGCAACACTTCAGGAAGAGTGCGAGGAACAGAAACACAAGGCGCAGCAGCACTGTGAACGAGTCTCGGTCACGCACTCGCATGATTATTACGGCAAACGGTTGACTGACATCAAACGCCAGATTGATCACGAACGGAGTCGGTTTCGAGGCATGGACCTGTCGGAGCTAAAGGATGACATGGAGGCGAAGACGATCAAGTACACGAGCAAGAAGGCCAACTTCGACAAGTTTCGAGATAACCTCGAGCGCATTCGGTCGATGCTGGAGGAGCGTAAACGGGTGTGGCAGATCCTGCGGAAGGAGATCGCTCATCGGACGTCCATGGAGTTCAACAAGTTCATGTGCCTGAATAACTTTGCAGGCAAGCTAAAGTTCAGACATGACGATCAGCGGCTCGAAATTGCTGTCTTGCATAATGAAAAAGGAGCGTCACGAGCATCGCAAGTGACTGACATGAAGGAACTCTCTGGCGGCGAGCGGTCTTACACTCAAGTGTCGCTGCTGCTGGCGCTCGGCGAGAGCATTGAGTGTCCATTTCGAGTGATGGACGAGTTCGACGTGTTTATGGACTCGGTGAACCGTGACATGACCATCCAATTGCTCGTGAAAGCTGCCAAGAAGGACGGCAAGAAGCAGTTTATCTTCGTAACTCCCAACGACCTCAGGTACGAGCCTCGTGTCAGCAGGTTGGATGTGACGTTTGTGTTGACTCATTGGTTTGTGTTAATTCATTGTTGTTGTTGCTTGTCTTGCTAGTACGCTACGCCGCGATCCAATGGTGAAGATCCAGAAAATGCACCCGCCGCGAGATCGACTGAATGCAGAGCAGGACTGACTAGCCGCATTACGTAACAACTACAGCTTCGCTGCAGCCGTGTCAATAACCAACAGGAGGTAAAGTTTTGTGTCATTCGGTGGAAGCAATATGTCTTGTTCATGCAATGGCCAGTCGCAGTGCAACGACATCGTATGCTTTGCTAGCACATATACGGACCTCAGCGCGCATTCCTGCCGACGCATGTCGCTCGAGCAGCGGCCGGTGCGAAGTCTTGTCGCTGCTCACTATTCACGCGTTCGGACGCTGCCTTTACGACTCAGCTTCCGTCAGGACTTCTTTGATTATCGCCGTGCATTCATCAAGCTGCTTCTCGTTGATTACTAGCGGGGGCGCAAGACGGATGATGTTGCCGTGAGTCGGCTTGGCCAACAGGCCCTTCTTCGCCATGTTCATGCAAAGCTCCAAGGCATCCGGCTGATTCGGGCGCTCGTTGATGATGATTGCGTTCAGCAAACCACGGCCGCGCACACCTCGCAGCACGCTCGACTCGAACCTACGAGCAAAGCAAGCACGAACATGTCAGTCGATATCAGAAGCTGAAATAATCAGGCATGCTCGACGCACTTTTCCATCTCGCTTCGGAACTTGTTGCCGAGCTTGAAGGCATTCTCAGCTAGGTTCTCGTCCTCAATGACTTTCATGGCCGCCATGGCGACCTTACAGCCAAGCGGGTTGCCACCATACGTGGATCCGTGCTGACCGGGCTTGATCGTAAGCATGATCTCGTCGCTGGAAAGAACAGCCGAAACCGGGTACATACCGCCCGAAAGAGCCTTTCCTAGCACGACAATGTCCGGCTTGACCCCTTCATAGTCCACCGCCAGCATCTTTCCCGTTCGTGCCAAACCGGTTTGTACCTCATCAGCAATCCACAGCACGTTGTACTTGGTGCAAATCTCGCGCACGCGCTTCAAGTAGCCGTCATGCGGCACGACGACGCCCGCTTCTCCCTGTATGGGCTCAACCATGAACGCGGCAATGTTCTTGCCCTCTTTCTTGAACAGCTCTTCTAATGCATCAGCGTCGTTGTACGGAATGCTGCTAAAGCCCGGCATAAAGGGTCCGTAGCCACCGTACGCGTTCTTGTCGCTCGACGAGGACACGGCACTCAACGTGCGACCCCAAAAGTTGTTTTGAGCAAAAATCACCTTGGCCTGGTTTTCTGCAACGCCCTTGACGTCGTACGCCCAGCGGCGTGCGAGCTTCACAGCTGTCTCGCCGCCTTCAACGCCCGTGTTCATTGGCAAAATGCGGTCGTAACCAAGAAGCGTCGTCATGTACTCTTGATACTCTCCCAGCACATCATTGTAAAAGGCACGAGACGTGAGCGTGAGCGTCTCGGCCTGGTCAATCAGCGCCTTGACGAGCTTCGGGTGGCAATGGCCCTGGTTCACTGCCGAGTAGGCGCTCAGGAAGTCATAGTACTCTCTCCCCTCTACGTCCCAGACCTTGCAACCCCGTCCTTTGTTTAGCACTACGGGCAGCGGATGGTAGTTGTGCGCCCCCACCTTTTCTTCGCGCTCAATGTACTGCACCAATGACAGACCCACGACAACAACAATAACAACGACAACAACAACAACAACAACAACAACTTGTTAGCGTTTCCCGACACCACACGGGCACGCAACCGGTTGACAGACAGACGTGTTGCAAGTCAAGTACCTGCTGCGACGTCCAGACGCTGCGACGCGTGACGTTGTGCAGCTTTCGAGCGACAGGGCGGAGCGTGTGCAGACTGTGGAAGGAAGACATGAGGCGGCAAAAAACTGCGGTCAGGCGATGCCTCGAGACGTGCGTAGCTGCTGGTAAAATGGTGAATGACCGCATGGATCGCTACGATAGGTACGCTCGACGGCGGCTCGGACTTACGTGCGATCGTACGACCAATCAACGGCCAGCGAGCAGCCTAGTGTGGCTGGTTGTAGGTGCGCACAACACGGCATGCGACGGTGCGTAAGTGCGGAAGCGAACCTTGTCGAATATTTAGTCCCCTACCCCAAGCCACTTCAACGTCGGCGGCGTGTCTGATTCAGAAAAGCGATCGAGACGCGTGTTGGACCGTTTCTGATAAACGTACGTGCGTCACTTTCGAGGGGATGGCAACGACCTTCCAGTAGTACCCCTCGTATCTCGTTCGACAGCGTTGCAGCGTTCGCTTTGTCCGTTCGCCAATGGACCGATAACGTGACGCCCGACGTACCAGAGACGTTTGGTCGTTGGCCCGAAGCGATTGTCACCCGCGTTGCCAAAGCGACTTTTGGTCGCAGTCGCTGATCACGCGTCCAACGTGCGACCCCCTTGCAGTAAGTCCTCAGTCGTAGCGTCGTCCCAACTTGCGAGACGCGTGTCTACGCGCGCGCACTGTCGCAAACGGAGCACTACCCACACACTGCTGTCGGCCGGCAATGTCCAACAAAAGTGCAATTGAATCGACTGCGCTTCCCGCGCTCGTGCAGCAACTCGTCATCGCTGAGTCGAAAGAGATGCGCCGAACGTTTAATGACACCACGTGCTTCAACGTGTCCTGCGACATGTGACAACGGCCAAAGACGGGGACCGGTCGCCACCCCCCACCGAAAAGCCGTGCGACACGCGCTCTTCGAGGGGTTTCACCCTTTTACTGGATCGTTTCTATCCCTTACGCGGCCCATCTCGTTCGCTCTCTCTCCCGCACGCATGTGGCCCCCCCCTCTTTATGTATCCATATGCCATAGGACAGTCTCATGCGCTTTGCAAGGAACGCGAACAAAAGTGGCTTCATAGCCGACACACAGCGCCGAATCGACCGACACCGGAGCTGCTCGTCGGTTCTTTGCTCATGGACTCGTCTGCGGTCGAGCACAACGAGAAGGCGACGCGCTTCGGTGGTCGGCACTCCATCGACTCGTCCGAGCGCTCGCCCCGGTCCAGTGCCACGCACGCCGACATCTTTGCGGCGGCTGCACAGGCCGCAACCGACGACGACGACGACGACGAGCGGGACGTTCTATGTCAACGCACACGGCACGAGGGGCTGTTGAAGGCGTGTATTCTGGAAAACGTGGCGACTGCCAAGCGATTGCGTCATGTTCCCGAGTCGGCCATGGACGACTTGGACGCGGTCAAAGACGACGCCGATGCGGGCGACTTGTTCGAGACGCTGCCGGAACCCTATGGACAGCTGTCGACGTACGAGCGCGTGGTGATTACGTCAACACCTGAAGAAGCAGATCGTGAGACAAGGGACGTGTGTGCACTGATTCGCAAGGGCGTAGCGCTCCGGCGCAAGTGGATTGCAGTGAATGAACCCACGACACTGTCGGCATCGACACAGGACCACGTACTTTCTACTACTACTTCTGCAACTGCGACTACTGGTAGTACGGCTAGTACTGCTAGTGGCGCTAGTCCACGGGCGACGGCAAGTTCTACCAGTAAATGGAGACACCGCGAGGAAATACCGTACGCGCCATTTGAAGCGCCTGTGCCTGAGACATCGCAGCATTGTTTCAACATGGTGGACGGGGTAGTCATGGTGTATGACGACACGCACGCTGTCGAACCAATCAGTCAAGTCGGGACGATGGAAGAATACTACGACGACTTGTTTGAGATCCAGTGCATTGTCAATTACGGACCAATGAAGACGCTGGCGTTCAAGCGCTTGCAATTGCTGGAAGCGAGGTTCAACCTGCACATGCTGCTGAACTCGGAGCGGGAACTGGTGGCACAGAAAGCAGTGCCCCACCGTGACTTTTACAATGTCCGGAAGGTCGACACGCACGTGCATCACTCGGCGTGCATGAACCAAAAGCATTTGCTGCGGTTCATTAAATCGAGGCTGCGCAACTCGCCTGGCGAGATTGTGATTTTTCGCGATGGACGCTTTATGACGTTGAGCGAAGTCTTTCGGTCGCTGAACCTCACAGGTTATGATCTCAGCGTCGACACGCTGGACATGCACGCGAGCAACACGTTTCACCGCTTCGACCGCTTCAATTTGAAGTACAACCCGGCTGGACAAAGTCGTTTGCGGGAGATCTTTCTCAAAACGGACAACCTGATTGCTGGCAAGTATCTTGCTGAAATAACCAAGGAGGTCATCTCGGACTTGCACGCTAGCAAATATCAGCTCGTGGAATGGCGTGTCTCCATTTACGGACGCAAGCACTCGGAATGGGACAAGCTGGGTCGCTGGATGTACGTGAACAAGTTATCGTCTTCTCATGTGCGATGGATGATTCAGATCCCGCGACTCTACTTCCTGTACAAGAACATGGGCGAGGTCGATAATTTCCAGCAAATGCTCGATCACATTTTCCTACCGCTGTTCGAGGTCACGCGTGATCCGTCGAGCAACCTGCCACTGCACTACTTTCTCCTGACTATGGTCGGCTTCGATAGCGTGGACGATGAGAGCAAAGCGGAACCTTTTCGAGCTGAGCGCGGCAAAAAGCTACCAAAGCCGCATGAGTGGACCTACGAAGCCAACCCGCCGTACGACTACTGGTGCTACTATTTGTACGCGAACATCGCTTCTCTAAACGAGTTTCGACGCCAGAAGGGCCTCAACACTTTTTCGCTGCGACCGCATTCCGGCGAAGCTGGCGACCCTGAGCACTTGGCTGCCGCTTTTCTTACTGCAAACGGCATCAACCACGGCATCACGCTTCGCAAGTCTGTTGGTCTACAGTACCTGTACTACCTAACGCAGATCGGTATTGCCATGTCGCCATTGAGCAACAATCGCTTGTTTCTCGACTACCACCGCAATCCATTCCCGACGTATCACGCACGCGGTTTGAACGTCTCGCTGAGCACTGACGATCCTGTCATGCTCCATTATACAAAAGACCCGCTGCTTGAGGAGTACTCGGTAGCAGTGCAAGTGTGGAAGTTGACGTCGACGGACATGTGTGAAATCGCGCGCAACTCGGTATTGCAGTCGGGTTTCGAGCACAAGTTCAAGGAGCATTACCTCGGCCACAAGTACGCATTGCCTGGATCGCGTGGCAACGGTGAGCACTCTCTTTCACTTCTTCTTCCTGCGCTTTTGTTCACGGTACTGTCTGTTTCTTGGTCCCACTACAGATATACGCATGTCAAACGTGCCGGACATTCGTCTCGACTACCGTCACGAGACACTTCAGGGCGAGCTTGATTTCATCCAGACATGAGGTGCCGTTACAAGGATCAAATCAACACGATTGCCACTTTCATCGGAACAGCTCAAACGACAAACGTATCTTCATTCTTTTGTATGTGAAAATCGACTCGGGTCAGTTGCATCGAGCACCTAGTGTGTGACTGTCAAACTCAAGGGCCACGCACGTAAAGCTATGCCTCCACTGCGCTGACAGAGTTACTGCAGTTTGTCCAGGATACGCAGTCCCTGCTCCTCGTACTCGCTCTTCAACAGCCAGAAAGCGTCGTTGTCTTTCATAACGTCGGCCAGCACACTGCCACCAAGAAAGACGAGGTGTTTGCGCCGGGGTGGATCGTTGATGCGCAGACGAAATTTGCCTAGACGGCTCTTGTCTCCCTTCAGCACGTCAGTGAGGTACCGCTGCTTGATGTCCTTCTCCAAGCGACTTGGCAAGCCCGGGTACATGCTGGACCCACCAGACAGCACAATGTTCTTGAAGAATTCAGTGCGCAGATCAATGTCGGCCTTCATGCACATATCAAACACCATATCACTCAGACCGGCGCCCTCAACGTCAATCAAGTTGGGGTCAAAAAGGGCTTCTGGTGCCTCGAAACGCTCGCGACCGAGTCGTACGATGCGACCATCAGGCAGCTCGTACGGTTCCTCTAAAATCGTGGTTTCAAGCGCCAGCTTGCGCTCTGCAGCCGTGTCATACGCTACGTAGCACCACTTCTCTTTGATCTGACGCGCTGTCTCGAAGTCGGCAGTACGGTTCAGCGGGTAGCCACGCAGCAGCATGAGCTTGATCAGGTAGTTGGTGATGTGGCGACCGGCAACGTCCAAGCGGCAAATGAGGTGCTGCGGCACATAGCCCTGGAAGACTGGCACAACATGTGTCACTCCGTCGCCCGTGTCAATGACCACTCCCGTCGTGATGCCCTGTGCGTACAGCGTGAGCATCGCCTGCGTCGTGATGTTGCAGCCATCAAAGCCGTACTTTTCAAACATCATCTCGACGAGTTTCTCCCGATTGCGTTTCGGGTTGAGCGGTGGTTCCGTGAGCAAGATACGGTGCCCGTCCTTGGGGTCAATGGCCAGACGCTCCTTGAACGTATAGTCCCAGAGCTTCTCCATGTCGTCCCAGTTCTTCACAATGCCGTTCTCCACAGGGTACGAGATCTCAAGATTCGACCGCAAAGCAGCCGCTTCGTCACCAAACATAATGTCCTGACACGAGTCGAAACGAATCAGCAAAAAAAACATTCACAGATACAACAATGCTACACCCACACAACAAACACGTAGAGCAGCAGCAGCAGTAGCAGTCACCCCTGTACGAACGTACTTGAAGAAGAATGTCCGACTGAACGGCCTCTTCCGCACGCAGGACGGGGCGGCCGACAAGAGACGGGAAAATAGCTTTCGGGAAATTCTCGGCAGCAAAACCTGCCTTAACAAACTAGAGAGAGAGAGAGAGAGAGAGAGAGAGAGAGAGAGGGGGTGAGCAGACCAGAGCGAGCATGTGCTGTGTGTACAGTGCTCTATTGATAGGTGTCAAGTGGTAGACAATCATGTATCGAGACAGACGTACCCCCGTGCCGTTATCACACACGACGATCTTGTTCGCCGCGACCATAATGGATGCGTCCGGTACGTCCGGTACTTCGGGCTGTTGGCAAAGTGACGACAGCGGGGGCTGAATCAAACTGGTACGATACCGGTAAACACCTCTGCGACAGGTACGCACAAGAAGAAACCCGCAAACGTCCAGTACGTCCGGTCGAACGGGGGCGTCGAGTTAGAAACACCTCGCAGACTTGATTGGCGTCTTGACGCATGCGATAGAAACGCCAGTGGAAATGCGACACCGCCCACGTGGGGTCGCTTCGCGTACCGCATATCTTTTCTTCGTTTCTCACGGATGTTGTTGATATATTTCGCTCGCCTCTGTCTATCTATGTCGCCCGCCCGCTCGCGCGCGTCTCCCTCTTTCCTATCATACACGTCTCTATTGCGTCGTCCAGCCCCCCTCCCCGGCATGCCCCCACACTATGCCACGCCAGACGCGCACACCGACCTCTCCCTCCTCTTCAGCCCCCGCACTGCGTTCTCCCTCCAACTGTCTGCTGTATCGACGTATCGCGCACGACAAACATACGCCATCTCCCCCTTCGGACCAATCCAATGGGTTCAACACCGGCCCATCGTCCAGTGAGAGGCCCATACCGCACCGCTTGTACGCCACAGCGACCGACGCCATCTAATACACTCGACCACCGCGTCACGCGATCTGCCGCATCCGATGTGCCGTCTTGCAGTCCAACCCGCAGTACTGGTCGTAGCGACTAAGGCCGCGCTGGAAACACTTGGAGCAGTTGGTGCACCAGCGCTGTTCCCTGCTCGGCTGGTTGTGGTACTCGACCAGCACAGCCGCGCTCGGTCCACTAGTTGCCATTGCAGCAGCTGCAGTAGCACTAGTAGTAGTAGTACTACTACTATCACCACCACTACTACCTGTCCCCATGTCGTCGACGTGCGTCGTCGTCGGGACCGCGCGGCTGCTCGTCCCGAGGCGGTAGAGGTCCCGGAGCGAGCGGTTGCGCGCTGGCGGCTCTTCGTCCTCTTCGCACGCGATCGTGTCGCGGTGCTCGCGCCGGAACATCCCGTGCAGTTTCGTGCTCAAGTACGTGAACGACGTGCGCTTGCGCGTGGCGTCGACAATGGACTTGTCGACTTTGGCCTGGGGGAAGTGCATGCGACAGGCCGGACTCGCGCGACTGCTGCTGCGCTTGGACGCTGCTGCGACCCGTTCGAGGCGACGGTCGACAACAGCTTTGGGCACTTCAAACGCCGCTCGACTCGAGCCGCGCTCTTGTCGCCCGTGGCGGCGACTTGGAAGCTGCGGCTGCGGCGGATCGTTTCGCGTCATGACAGTGGGGTTCGATATGGACCGTCGGGCAAAATCGCAAGTGGTCCATTTGCCCGTCTGTGTGGCTGGGTACGAGTCTGTGTGTGTGTGTGTGTGCCGCCTGCTCGGAGCGACAGGGAGATGGGGAGCTTCCCACGGTCGAGCGCAGTTGCGCTCGAGGCGATAGAAACTAATCGGGTGCATAGCAACGCGACGACAGCCGAAGGGTCCTGCACGCTGCGGTGAAACCATCTGGTACAAGCGCTCCGTGCGTCGTGTGCGGGCACATACATATACATATACGTCTGGATGTACGGGCTGTGCGGGTGTTTTCTCGGTTAGTTTCGAAGTGGAGGGCCTCTTGTGGGTTCCGATTCGAGCAGCTGCTTTTGCTTTGCTTACTTAGACCGAGCGCATTTATACATGTAAATATATATACGTATCTCTATGTATGTATGTGGAGATGGATTATTATTATTCTTATTGATAGATAGATAGATTGATGTATCGAAAGAGAGGCGTTCGCGCAGAGTGGGCGCTGCGATCTCAGCGGAACCGGCTCGCAAAGCTCTTTCTGACGGAAATCTGGTGAGTCTGGTGATTCGCGGGTAACGCATAGGTGCGTACGCAAGCGCCTCTCGTTTTCGCCCGCCTTCTCTTTTGTGTCATTCGGCAGCTCGCCTCTCGTCCATCCATTCATTTATTCATCCATCGCGCTCGTCCGCGACAGAAGCTCACATGGAACCGAAACGACATGAGTTTAGCTTCTGCAAACGATGCCATTGGCTTCGCTGCCAAAGTCATGTTTTCTCGGATCGTTGTCACTCGAAAAGCACCATACTTTACGACCTTCTGCCGGATCATGAGTTTCTGATACTTCCAGCGACTCCAGCCGAACGATGGCTTGTGCGAGCCCATGCTTCGATCGCTTTCTTGCAGCTTGCTGCACTGCCTCTATTTACCTCGTGACTTGCGTGGCAAGCACGTGTACTCCAGCTCTTTGCGATCTGGTTTATTGAGCCGACGTTTGCGCAACAAAGTGTCAGGGTTTCCTCCATTCTGACGGTGAAACGGCGAGCGCGGATACGTTTGCGAGGCACGTGTAACAATTCGATACTATTCGGACAGTTTTTAGTATGTATGTCATAGCAATACCCGTGTGACTACTGCCTTCACGTGGTAGCAGCCACTGTAAATGATCGTTGACTCAGTGCTGTTTTCGTTGTTTGTCATGACAAACAAAAGTTTGGCACGACAATCGGCTTTGGGCATTTCGCATGATCAAACGGCACACACCGTTCATTTGACCTGTCTGACGCCACATTCATTATCCTTTGCGAGCCGCTATTGCGCGTGTCAAGACAATGATGCGATCGATTGAGCCTGTGTAGGCCAAGTCATGCACACTGCTTGTCGGTCGTGATTGTAGCACTTGACCTTGCCAAGACGAAGGCATGGAGTGCACACCCTTGCCTTGCGAGCAACCTTGCAAGGACATTACCCATCGCGATTGATGCTGTATGCCACGTCAACGCGTAGTGATCTCAGCTCGAAATCGGAGGAGTCTCTCCACCTCGCAGTTGACGCACTCTAGCAAACAACTTCGGTGCGAGCGAGCAACTTTTTGAGCTCGTCAGACCATGAAGTCCAACCCGCTCGACTTACAAAGCACCCCTCACTTCAGTGCAACAGCCGATCGTCCACGATCACTGCATCTACATTTCCGCTCGTCTACGTATCGTTGCAGTACTCTTGTCGTCCTATCGGCAAGTGCTGGATTTGCGATGATTGGTATGAAGTCGTCAGGGTTGCATCGAGGACATCGTCCGACCAGTGGACTCGTCGGTAGCCGAGCCAGTGGCAATCAGGTTGCTAATCGAAACGAATCAGTCTCGCCACGTGACATTGCAACATGAAGTTGGGCTACTGTGAACATTGACGCAAAGCTTGATGTTTGTGAATTACATCTGAGGAGATTATAATTCAGCAAACAAGTGACGGCACGCTATTGACAAATGATGCGAGCCATCATACGACCAACACGCCGAAACGGCGCTTGCGAATGCAGTAGCGAGCACGTTGTCAGCTCAATATGCGCCTTAGCAAAATGGATAGTTGAAGCAGGCTAAAAAGATGAGCGTGTAATAAGAATGTGACGAAGTCATTTTTACAGCTACCTCATCTCATTCAAACAATTGTAGCGTGTGCGCTTTCGCAACCTTCATTCACAAAGTCTGTGTGTTCATCGCTCGTGACTTGATGCACCTTTGAGAACACATGACAGATTGGTTTGTAGGTGGATTGCCACACGTATTTGTAACGGGATGAGCGCGTTTCAAAAGTTGTCATTACGTCAGCTGCCAATTGCGAATTTTGTCCATACTCAACGATATTCAATCGTTTGCTCATTGGCTGGTGTATGCTTTGGTTAACAGTCAAGTAGGCGTCTTATAATCGATGGACGCGCGCAATGTATGACAAGCAAGATAGCACCAAAAGTATGTGCACTTCGATATAATTGTTACAACAAAACCTGTTCACTAGAATCGGTCAGGGCATTGCAGCGAATACAGTTGTGGTTGAACGCACTCAAGCACTACATCATCGAATACAGCTAGCCAAACAATGAAGATAAATGGTGTATCAAAAATCGACGTAAACCTCTGTTGCAATCGAGGTGCAACGCACGTAAAACATATTGACCGTTCACTTTTGTTGCACAGCATCACAACAGGTATGTTAAGCACCACTACAAAATGACCATGTCAAGTTGCATATGTCGCCCGTCTGATCCGCCCATCGTCGTACGAAGTTTCATGTGGTCGCCGTATCTTCTCGATCCATCAGTCAAGATTTTGAGGAGGAGTGGATCCAAGAATGGTGTGAGAAATGGACTGAAGAATGACTACTGTGGTACCCGGACTAGGTACGAAGTTCGAAAGGTGGACCACGACTATCGGATCCGATCTGGGAGGGGATCCGATTCGAGAGGGGACCCGATCCAAGAGTAAGTACGATCCGATCTGAGAGGGAATCAGATCCTGACCTGGGCCAGGGGTAGGGTATAGATCAAGGAACCTACGAGGTACAAGAGACAGATCAGCGCGTTCACTGACGGGTGGCGAGCGCCTTGTGCTTGGATACGCTAGGTCGTAGGCTTCTCAATTTGGTTGGCTGACATTATACAGAGTTCAATTTACTTCAAAAGACACGCGACATCTCTTCCGGACTGGATCTTAGGCCCCTTGATGACATAAATAGTTACGCCTCTCGTCTACAATAGTGTCGTACCTAGTTTGTTTGGCTAGGTGCGTTTAAGACTCTCAAAAACATCACAACAACTGCGATAGGGCGCAGCAAGAACGCAGCATGATCAAGATCGCGAGACGGATCAAGAGGTCAGAACGTCAAAAGACCATCTTGTTGAGAACTAGGTAGATCAGATCGAGTACCTACAAGTAATCGATGATCGCGTGAAGACTTCTATGCGAACACGTCAGTCCCAAACAAGATCAAGTTTGGAATCAACACGGGATAACCGAGAAGAGTGCAGACAACCTTATCTACGGGTACACAAGGTGAGGAAGGAATCAAGCACAGGAACGAATTTTTCCCTTTCGATAGTCGATTGTCTGGGCGACTGTGGATAGAAAGATCACCAAAAAGTTGCGATCTCCATTTCACCACACTATCATCAATCAATAAGCTGCTGAGTATCTGTTCAATCAACCGAAGCAAAAACTTCTGCAGATTGATTATAGGCTACATTATCTTCCTGAGCGACGTGTGCGCATATCCTCTTATCCTTTCCACTACGCCGATCTGGCAATATTACAATTAAGAATGAGCAGAGTAATCGATCGAGATTTCTACTGCGCTGCCAGATTGAGCGTATAAGCAATTATACAGTACACTTCGTTTATCTAGACATTTGATGTCGAGGCATGCCCTAGAATCTTGTTTTTTCATCTCAGTGCTTTCGTAAAGCAACTACAACCAGGAACGTAACGTCGACTCTTCGGTTCACCATCACTTTCCGTGATGCCGCTTCTATGCAACAGATGTGCTCATCCTTGGATGTTGTACTTTGCTTGATTATGTTTCCTAGTCCAGTCGACTCACTCGAGTGGTGGACTCCGTCGCTTTTTGTGCTTTAACAGCCGCCGGCAGCTTGCTCCACAGTGTAATGGTCAGCTAATCCTTTTTCTTGTGTAGTCGTAGTAACGGCCGAAACACAAGTGATGCCATCGCACTCACTTTCGATACATTTGCCCGCTTGTGAAAGATCCAAGACGTTATTCGTAAGTTCATACGATACAAATTAGGCAGGTATCTGTGCATGATCGAAATCACCAGCTAATGTAAGGCCCGTACTTGCTGAGCCATGTTTGATCAAGGATGGCATAGAATTTGTTATCAAAATACGATACTATAAAAAATCGTCGTATCATTTATCTCCTAATGTGTAGCAGATTTCCACTACACTGCTTTTCACTTGACGGACCAATCAACTCTTTTGACGTTGCTGGGTCAACTGGGCGCTTCGCCACTTCTGCTTCCAAATGTTTGACAATCCACCACACTTCGCAAATTTCACGGCGGCTTCGAATATGCGTCTCAGGTCCTTCTTTATCGACAGACTATCGTCACGTACTATTGCACGTAACAACGGAGCCGGGGTACTACATCCGTAGATATAGTGCCCTGTCGTTCGACATCATTGAATCGTGTGCGATTTTTTAGTAAATATAAGAGCATGATGTTCTGCTTTCCACGTACGAGAAATCCATCGGTTTGAAACTACCACTTCATTTTGTCCCATAGAGCAATATAAACCTAAACTGACG